ATGGGTGGATCTGCAGCTATGAGTTGTAATCTGGAATTTGGCTTGGTTGATGAGTACTTGTGAATAGCAGTCTTTACCTGCCTAAATACAGTCTTTAACACTTTAAAGTCTATCAAAGATATGTATTTTGATTTTTGGGGGGGAGGAAGCTACCTTCTTACAAATACTCGTTTAAAATACGTTGGACATTATGTTGGGACAGTGTTGTTGGTAGCTTGGAATTGATTTGGAGCTGATTGAAATTGCCATTTGCAAACAAAAATGCAAGACTTGCATTGTACAAGGGAACACTGTCTCCTAACAAAGGTGATTCCCCCCCCAGCCCCTCTTTCAGCACTTGGCTGCTGCAGTTGCCATTGCTCTGTTTTCGGTGCTAGAATCCATAAAGTTTGTAGCTGAAACACAGCTGGGGAGTTACAGGGAGACGTTGGTAAGATTAAAGTTGTGCGTGTTCTTAAGGGGATTGATTTCTGACAAAGGGGGTGGTTCCCATGTTCCCCCCGCCGGTCGAGAACAGCTGCTCCTTGCACCGCTGATGACTCTGCAAGGGCTTTGGGTGGGAGCGGTGACTCTATTCCTATCGCAGTGTGAGTTTTCAAGCTGCTATGTGAGACTTCTGCCAGAATCCTTTCAAGAGTGCCATTGCTCCCTTTGGCTTTATGCTTTCCTTTTGATTTGGGGAGAGCGACCGCTCCTGCTCCTTGAAGCCCAGGAGAAGTTTGTCGCAGATTTGCCATGGGCTCAGCCTGAGTGTGCCAAGACTATATTGCTGGCAGCGTAACGGGTCAGATGGCTGGTTTGTGTCCTGGACTTTTCTGCGCCTTCGTTTCGTACTGGTGGGCTTCATTTCCTTCCTCTGGATGCTATGAATAGACTTGGAGAAGTTTATTCTTTTTTTTTTTCTTTAAATAATTAGGGTTTTGACATGAGCCGTGCGATTAATCTGGACCATTACTGAACTCCTGAGGTCTCTATGACACTGGGGGTACGTGAAGAGCTTGGAATTGCACTGATTGTTCTGTGCTCTGCGCTGGAGTGATAACGGTGGGCTCTCCTTCCCGGCTCTAAGCCTCTTAGCCTGGGAAGAAACATCGTGTATCAGCACAATGATGAAACGGAGGAAACAGAGGCTTGGGGCCCCGTCTCTGCGGATCCAGTAAGGACTGTTGTGAAAAATAAATTGCACTTAAACGTTTCAAATTGAAACGATGAAGAAAAACAAGCCAGAATTTTCTGTAGCCAATAGACATTGCTTTTATTTCTTAGAGCTTTTTTTATCTGTTATGCTTATTTGGCTGTACATGAAAATTTTGCTTGGAAACGTTAACATTTTACTTTTGTGGAGCATTTACCATAAAGTATAGCCCAAAAGAACAAAATTTAAATGTTTTTAAATGGGGTACATTGTGGTTAGGTTTTGTATCAAACATTAATTAATGTAGTAAAACTGAACATTCGTAACTCTCTCTTTCTAGTTTGATCACTCTTCAGATTTAAGAAGTACTTTTAATAATCTGCCAGAAAGCTGTCACAGGGCTTTACAGAAACCTTTGCTACCTTTATTATCTTTTAAAATTAAGAATGATACTGAAAACTTTTAAGATTCGAAGCAAAAAAATCTTTATTTACATTGCCACAGGTATATCTGCAAATGAAACTTAAACAAGCAGTTCCTTTTTAATGCTTGCATCCTTTATAAATGCTTCAAAATCTACTAATGAAAACTGCTATTTATGATGTCTGTAATTATGTTTATTATTTAATTAGTTAAAATTAAGGAAATTGTATCTTTAATACTATGTGTATAGTAGAGGAGGTTAAATGAATCTTATCATCTAGTCCGTGCAGGGGGGAGCAGAGTAAGAGGCAGGCATAACCTTTTCTGTCTGCGGACTGTAAAGCTCATCAACTGTTTAAGCAGAGATTGCTGGTGGGGAGGATTTCCAATATGTAAAGGTTACTCACTGATAAGTATTTGGATTCATTAGGAAATTTACATTGACAAACATGCTTGACTTCAGGACTTGAAATGTAAAATGTATGAATACTAAACAAACCTGAAGCGTGCCCCAGATTTCCCTTTTGCTCACTTTTATGCTTAAGTATGGCAAATAGAAAATCAATCAAAATCAAAGTTATAGTTGTAAAAATATGGTGGCACTAGTTTGTATTCTAACACATAAGCATACTTTATAATACCAATATTTGTAACTTAACTTTTACTTTATTTCTAGTGAAGGGCATCTCATCGTGTATAGTTCAATAAAGTAGGTGTTAGAACCTCTTTTTTGTGTCTGTGCAGAAGTCTGTCTGCAGCTTTTTGGAAAGCAGCTACTTTGAGAAATTTTCTGTGCTCTCGGTGTATACAAATATGTGTTGGCTGCTAACACTGCAAAGCAATATAACTTACAGAACTGAGCACAGAGCTGGGAATCGATGTCCTCAGCTGTAATCCCGATGCTGCCGTGGATGTGCTGTGGACGAGTCACTTAACCTCTTTGTGCCTCAGTTTCCCTGTTGCTAAAATTAGAATAAAGCCATTTTGGAGTGCTGCTTTCAGGCTTATTTAGTTGTTATAAAATGCTGTCAGTGCTAAATGTTGGTTTCTAGTTAACGGTTCGTGTAATTCATGTTTTTGCAGTTGCGTATTTCTGTTGTTGCCACAGCCGTGGTGTGGAACCACAGCTCCCAAATTGTGAAGGCTGCGATATTAATGGTCCGTGTGTGTGTTACTGGTGCCATTATCAACTTTGTTCATTTTTCTCAATGAAATGTTTTACATTAAGGATTGACAGTGGTGTGTGTTCCAGAAAGCCTGGTAATCACTACAAAAAAGAATTTGGATAATTCCAGATTGGAACATTTTCATAGTGGAAAAATGATGTTGAGTACATATTATATTGACCAACAAATACATTTTGGCTTGGATGATAATCGAAAGGATGACTGACTTAGTTTATTGCTTTTATTAAGAAGATAGAACTTATATTTTGGAAGTATCTTCTTTTTTTTTTTTTCTTTATTGAAACAGAAGATATAATATTGACTCTGATTTATTTTTTTTTCTACTGTGGTACCCTGTCAGAATCTCCTCTCCTTTGTACTCCCACTGCCGAGGAAGCGATGTTCATCAGCACATGTTCTCTCCTACATCTGCTCCAGGTCTGCAGCACCTTAAATTCCCATTTAGTGCTGACTGTGCACTTGTTACTTCTCCTCTAGTATTTTACCTGAACTCACGACCCCAGAGCAATCCGTCTAGTCCATGCTACAGCCATCCTTTTCAGTGGAGGTAAGGAGAGGTATCAACTAGGAATTTCTAACAGTTTGGTGTTGGTGTAACCATTTATGAGCTTACCAGCTTTATAGTTTAAGAGAATAGTATCTAACAGAAGGGAACAACATTGTAGTTGTAATTTACTTCCCAGTCATTTAGGGTTCCAGTTGATGTTTCTTGTTGGTACAAGTTTTTCTTGTTCATGGGTATTTTAAGGCCCTATGTAGCGAAGAATATAAAATTAATTGAGGAATGGAAACCTGTCTACCTGTGTGTGCATGCAAATTCCTGGTTGTACCTTGTGCTAGCTTCTGAGTGCATGTGCAACTTGTTCCATGGAGCAAAGGAACCCTCACAGGTATCGCTGATGTCAAGAAAACAAACTTAAAAGTAAAACAGCCTAGAGTGGTGTCCTTAAAATCCGTGCCTAGAATAGTGGGTCTGTGCTAACGTACTGTGCTCTGTTCTATTCGCTGTAAGTCCACATTAGGTTTTTACAGAAGCTAGCACGCTGAAGCCTCTGTCTCCAGACGCAGGGTCTACAAAGGAGAACAAGTAAAATCAAGCCTGTTGTTAGGAGGCTTAAATATGGGGTACAAGAGTTTGTAAACCAAAGAAAGTCCAAACCAGCTCAGTTTGTATTAAAGCATTTGAGAGGCTGGAGCCCTTCCTGCACATTGTGCTATTATGGAACGTGTATGGCTATCAGCAGCCCCAGTGGAAACCTTCAGCTTCTTCACTAAGAAACTTCACCTGGTGAGGTAGTCACGGACAGAGGCTAACACGAGCTAGAGATCTCTCTGTGTGCAGTTGCGAAACTGGAGCTCGGTGGTACCTTCTTAAAACTTGAGCCAGCAGAACCCTCAGAGGGCTGGTTTTGAAGTTCACATGCTGCAGTGTGGATGTAGCCGGTCAAATTTCAGTTACTCATCAGGTGGTAATGCAATAGCCCCCGAATCTAGACCGTTATTTCAGAGGGAGATTGCTCTTGCTGGCCAGCTGTGGTAGGAACAAGAAGAAAATGTGAAGTTGAGCTATTTTAGGCATCTGTCCCTCTAATGGAGAGTTACATATATTACATCTTTTGGGTGGAAATCAGGTTGTCAGCAAAGGAAAGGGCACGTTGCCTGCGTCTGTACTTGGTGTATTGTGCGCTGTACATTGGGCAGCACTCGGTGAAAATTTTTACTGTGGGGCTCATTTTGGCAGCACTTGCAGTGAAGGGAAGGGCAGTGACTAAGAGCAGTCTCAACCTGACAGTGTTATTGTCATCAATATGATCTTAAATTATTTTTTTGTTATTTAAAAGCTGGTATTGGGTAATGGTCCTTTACAAGGGTGATGAAATGTGATTAAATGCTGGTTAGCGTTAGGGCTGATTAACAGACTCATAAGTAGTAATTAATTATCAAAATGAGATTACTGTTAAAGTCAGTTGAGAACTGTTCTTTTTGGAGAGGAGATCTAGTGGTTATTGATTATTTGCAAAAGCCTTTTTGGTACTTATTGCTGTTTTTCTCTGAGAATCCTTCAATCTTTAGGCTTTTGACATGGGCCAGTGAATAATTTTCTCTTTAAGAATAGTCATGTAAAAGTCCTAGTGTCAAGTTATATTCCACTGTTACTATGGACTCTTCTTGATAATGATATTTGTCACATATGGGGACTTCCAGCCATCTGCTCTCTAAATACTGAATGGTTGATGATTCACAGATACATAGCTCTGTGTAAGAGCTTAGGTCTACTATAATAACTTTTTATTTTCGTCCTTGTTGCTTTCACCTGTGCAGCTCTTGATCCTGTTTTATCCTGCCTGCCTTTGTTGTAGTTTTGTTTACTTGGTTACGGTACCAGTGATAGCCATTCCTGCCTGCTTAGAGCAAAGGTTCATCTTGGCAAGTTATTACCATCATTGATCTACTCAGCTTAACACCCTCAGGTTAGCCAGGCTGTGGTTAATTTCCATGGCTGTGCAAGTGATACTGGGAGCTAGTGGAACATGTAACTAGTGTATGCCTTAATGTTAAATCTTTCTCATTTTTTACCATCTGTATATTGTGTTTGCAAGTAGCTACATAGGTTTCCCCTTCTTACCTATTTTTTGTGGTGTCCTTCGTATTTTTACATGGATGGATGAACAACTGTTGGAGCATCTGACGTCAAGTGTGTTCTACAGCTAGCATGGAAGTTCATGGCTTCTGAAAGAATTAATCGAATTAAGAATGAAAATGTTTTCTACATACCCTTTGAACAATTGAAAATAATGTAAAACTTTCAAAAGACTAAAAGGAAATGGGAAGTGGCATGATTACAACAAAAATAAATTGATAGCAGGTGAAATAAGACTGCTATAGTTGATGCAAGCGTGGGTTGGAATTAAGGTCATGTATCTTTAGGAAGAAAAGAGAATGATGTCCAAAATTAAAGTGAAGTATTGGCTCGCATATTTGGGATCTGGCTTGCACTCTTCTAGGGGTAGCAGGGAAGTCAAATGAAGAAAATGAAGCCATGTTTCACAGCTGGTCCTCTTTATGAATTGGCAAGTCTTTGTACACCCATATTTGTCCTTTAATCAAAATATAGATTACAGCATTTCTTGATATCAAGTTGCTTAAAAGACGCCATGAATTAATTTTTGTAACTTAGAAGTGATGGGCCTTGAGAGTAAAGGAACATGTATTTCCCCCGTTTCAAAAAAATGCTACACTTTCCGTATCACCATCAGCAAGATATAAACTAGTTTCAGTACTCTGAGAAATGGATTCATTTGTTCATGGTAACAGGGGGGAATGTGTTCAGGTGCTGTATTTCTGGCTTCTCTGGGTGCTGCAGGTGAGGTGAAGTTTCACTGGAAATTTGCTTTATTCTTACAAATTTAGTAGGGCCAGCTGCGTTAGGACAAGGGGTAATGGTTTTAAACTAAATCGGGGTAGGTTTAGGCTAGATATAAGGAAAAAATTCTTTACAATGAGGGTGGTAAACCACTGGAACAGGTTGCCCAGAGAGGTAGTGGAGGCCCCATCCCTGGAAACATTCAAGGCCAGGTTGGATGGGGCTCTGAGCAACCTGATCTAGTTGGCGGTGTCCCTGCTGACTGCAGGGGGGTTGGACTCGATGACCTCTAGTGGTCCCCTCCAACCCAAAACATTCTATGATTCTATGATTCTATGAAATTGAGGGAAGAGTTGGGTTTAGTTGGATTGTTCAAGGGGTATTTTCTCAAGCTATTCTGATTTCATGAATTCATGCCAGTTGTGGAACATGTTCTTATAGGCATATATGGTAGAGATTATTTTTATAGAAATGTTTTCCCTTGGAGGCCCTAGCCTTAATAAAGTCTATTGATAATAACTATTAATTTTTTAGAGCTTTGCAGAGTAGTTTCATAAATTTTTTCCTAGCCTGTACAAAATCTGGTCACCATTTCTGGATGTGATGGTGGTCAGATCCTTGCTGTCTTATTTAAATAAAAGAAAATGTGAAACCTAATGTTGCTCCAAAACACTCAGTGTTTGAGCACAGTACATAATTATTTGATCAGTGTGTAATTACAATGTTATGGGTTTTATATAATTAGGACTTTATGGACATCTGTGATATAATTTAAGCATGTATTAATTTATTTACATAAACCCCCTATTCTAGGAAACAAGCATTTAATCAATAACTGTGGTAAGTAACAAGAATATATTATATATAGATGTTCAACAAATGTACCAGGAGGGTTGCCTGCCTTTATTTAAAGACTTTAGATATAATATAAACAGTATAAGCTGTTGCAGTGGATGAGGGGAGACCTATATTTAGAGCTACGGCTTGTTTGGGTGTGTGAGTGTGGCTCGGTGTGCAGCGTCCTCAGCGAGTCTGCTCTGTTGCAGTGAACAGAAGGAGTCCCCGGGCATCGCGGGGTGCCAGCCGGCTCACCTTCACCGAGGGGTGGGGATGGAGACATCCACCGTGTCTGAATGGGGTCACCAGTTGGACTTCGGTTCTTTTTCTTGTATATTGGGATTGCTGGTGTGTCTTGACAAGGGTCTTGTAACTCCAGTCCTTCTAATTCAAGGCAGGTGCAGAAATCCTTTCCATAGTATAAGGATGTATTCTTGGTGTGCGCCACCCCAAATCACCTGTGTTTTGGGTTATGAAGACTGCACATATTTTTCAACAGCAGGGCAGCACCTGTAAACAGATGTTCCATATTTTTAGGGAAGATAAAGGACATTTCAGAATTCAGACTTGATGAGGTTCTTTATATTTTTATTTTGCCTCAAGGCTTGTCAAGAGTTGGTGATAGTTTCCTATCTCTACTTAAATTTCCTTTTGGTTTCAAGTCACTTGATACAGGTTTTAAGAGTTTATTTTAGTTAGAGTTTCCTATTTGACAGTGTCAGAGGATTAATGAAGAGGACTATATTCAGCTTGAATGACATTTGGAAGTTGGTCTGTTTTTGCAGCAAGTGATATCTTCCTAGTTTAGTGCTTGATTTGGTACAGGTTCTGCTATCTTAAATGCGCTAAATAATTGGTCAGAGGTGACTGCAAGGCAGTGTAATGTCACTTTTGGAAACAATGTGGATAAGCAATTCAGGAATAATGAATAACAGAACAACTTTGTGAATATATCATTATGCATAATGTGAAAGGGTGAATTTTGAGTAGGTAATCTTTTGGCAACTGAATTGTAATCTACATCTCACATTGAATGAATGAATGAGTTTCCCAGAATTCATGTCTTTTTTGATGGAAATTTTTTTCTTTATTCTTTTTCTTTTGTACCAGTTATTATTCTTGGGAGTAGTTTTTCCCATCTAGGAGACAGAGACCACAGGGGAGGGACATGTTGGTGATACCTAAAACTTGACAGGCTCAGATAACTTTTTGTCTTTCTTAATGCTGATTGGAAACTGTCTGTTTGCTCGCTGTGTGGTTGGAAATACTTGGGCATGGTGGCCTGAACAGTATAATTTTTTCATGTGAAGACACTATGTAAATGCTAAAATCCTTGCATCCTGCCT